CTTCTGCTCCTGACATTTCTTCCGTGGAGCCTCCGTCGTCATCATCCGAGTGGAGAATTTCAGTCGCCATTGATTGCGTCGGCGACTGCCCCGAGTGGGGCTGCACGTCATCGACGTGTCCTGCCTGCGAAGGCACGGCTGCAGCCTCGCTGCTCGTCGCCAAAATGTCTAAGGCGGAAGGCGAATGTACCCGTGCGGCATTCCCGTCGCTCGCTTGTTGGTTGTCTACCGCGTCCTCTCTGCCGCCGTCGCCCGCCGCCGAAGGCGATCGAGCAGAGGGTGGCTGCGCGGGGTTTGATTGCGCATCGCGCATCAAAATTTCATCCCGCGGACAGTCACTCCGCTCCTCCGTCTGTTGCTGCTCCCTTGATCGGTTCGTGGGGGCTGTGCCCGGCCCGTGCGCAGGCGCAATTGCCGGCGCCTTGTCCGCCGCAGGCGTAGCGCCGCGGACATTCATCGCCGAAGGCGACATGGCCGGGGGCCGCTCGCCCGATGTCCCTTGGCCTATAGGCCCTACCGCCGAAGGCGCATCTATCGGCGGACTTCCCGCCGATGGTGCGGCCTCCGCACGCTCCCTGCTCGTATCTCCTCGGCTCGAAAGCCCTGGCGCCGAAGGCGCAAATTGCGGCGCGTGGTGCGCCGGAGGGTCTGGCCCCGAGGGCCGGTGTCTCGTAGGCGGTTCTTCCGCCGGCTCCTTCCCCTTCCTACGTTGGAACGGGGGTGATTCTTGCCTGTGCACAGGCGGCACGTGTGGAGGTGTCCTGTGCACAGGCGGACTGCTCCTTCCCACGCGTAAGCGTAGATCCACGTCCACTTGTGATCGCCTGTCCGCGGAGGCTCGTCCGTCCGCGGAGGCTCGTCTGTGCGCAAACGGAACATCTGTCCGCATCGCACGTGGTAACTCCGGAGGCCCTTGGCCCGTAGGCGGCCTCTCTCCCGTCGAGGTTGCAGCGTGGCCCGTTGCTCCTGCGGTCGTTCGCGCTTCCTCATGCTTCTCTGGCGACGCACTTCCTTTCTCCGTCGCAATCGTCGCCGTGTCCGCACTGTCGGCTGGTAACACCAGTCTGCGTGCCTTCTGCTTCGGCCGGCTGTAGGACTCGCACAGCGGCCGCGGTCGAATGGGAGCAGAAGGTTCTTGATGCTGCTCCTCTTCAGACTCTTCCCTCCATCGCCGCTTCCGCGGCACTCGTGCTGCAGGAGTGTGTCTCCCTTCGTCCCTCCGCCTTGATGGGGTAGAAGTCGGTGACTCCTCTGCATCAGTGTCGACCTCATTCTCCCGCACATACTTCCCGGGATGGTCGATGGACAATGGCGGAAAATGTTCAAGCTCCGCCGCTGTCAGACAATTCCGCTGTCGATAAAAATTGATGAGGAAAGGAGAAAGATGGTTTAGAGTTCCCCCCTTCTCCTCAAACGCGTGCTGTCGCATCACCCTGTGCAGGATGCTCGCCCAGTGAATTGGAGTTCCCTCGATGACGCACTCCACAAAAGAGACCTGCCACAATGTGATGTAGCAGGCGCGGTGCGGTTGCAATAGTTGCATCAGCGCCGCGGACAAAGTCCGGCGAAATCGATCCTTGTAATCACGGGTCCTGTACCCATTCTTGGTAGACCTCCCGGTCTTGAACAGCTCCACAAATTGCGCCTCTTCCTGCTTGGTCACCTTGATGCTCTCACTGTCGAAAAGGAGATGCCCTGGCATGCCAGCACATCTTCCCAACGCCTGTGCCCAATCTTGGACTGTCCACCGATCAACATGCGGACGCAATCCGCGCGAGGGTGGTCCCTGTGGCTCTAGCCACTCGCGCACCATATTCGCACAGATGTAGTTCCATCCCCATAGCAAGAAATCGAGCTTTCTTGCTATTAAGCGCTCCTCGAAAGCGCGCAGCCCGTTCTGTGGTAGGCGAAGTGGCACCATCCGCAATCTGCTCGGCCTCGTCATTGCGTTCCTGGGGTTCGCTCGCCCGCTCATTTTACTTCCGCACCGCCCGAGCGCCTTTCTCTCTCGGCAAACTCTAATCGCCCTCAATTCCAAATCACGCGCATTCACTTCTCCCTCAATCAACAAGAAATCTCCTGTGCGACGACGTCGAGAGTGTTCAGCAGCCAGTAGATGGATGCGCGCAGCGCGCACAAGAGATTGGAATCGCGAATTCAAGAATGGGACGTTCTCCGCCGCCCGGTCGAAGGTCATGGTCGGCTCTTGCTCGTGAAGAACGTCTCACTTGATGGCCGCGCCGGCTGTACGCTGGAACGGTCTTCGCTCTCACGCGCGGCTTCACGCTCCGCCGTCGTCGATTAAACTCTCACGCTCGAATTGGCGGATTTGAACTCCGCGAGCGTATTACCCCGCGGACATGGGGGCGTAGCGCCGAAGGCGAGTTTTCCGCCTTGCGCGGTACACTTGTTCGTACCGCCCCTCGGCCAATCCCCCTCTGCCTTGACGCGTGTGTCCGCATGTCGGACAAAAGTTCAACTCCTGCCTGTGCGCAGGCAGGAGCCTCGGCGGATTCTCCGCCGGCGCGGAACTTGAACATCCTCCTGTGCACAGGCGTTCGCCTGTGCGCAGGCGAATTCCGTGCGCGGCGCTGCGCTGGCGCGGAAGGCGTTGACCGTGGTCAGCCGTCTCCGTCCAGTCTGTCCGTTCCTTGTCTCTTCGTCGGCGCTTCCGCCGCCGCAACTCCGTCCGTCCAAGAGCGCATCCACCCGTCCCGTCCGCATGGTCCGTACCGATTTGATTACTCTGGCGGCTCTTCCGCCGTACGCGGCGCTGCGCTGGCGCGGAAGGCGCCGTACACTTTCTACCTCACAAGGCGCATTTCTAGGGCCCAAGGCGGATTTTCCGCCGACGCCGAAGCGCCTGTGCACAGGCGAGCGCCTGTGCGTAGGCGGTCTTCGCGCCTTCCCTAACCCTACTTCGCCTGTGCACAGGCGAACGCCTTCGTCCGCGCATAGGACAAAACTTGATTCCCCCTTCCGCGTAGGCGGAATTCGCGCCGGTGGCGAACTCTTTCCGCCGTAGGCGACCGCCTCCGTTTCTTCCAATAGTGATAGCTCCCTAAGTCCTCATCCGTTCCTAGCGTTCTTGGACTCGTTGGAATCAGTGCGTCGAGCTCTTTCCAACGGGACCCTAACTTGGTCAAGGCGCCTGAGGGTTGACCTAATTATGGAGGGTTTCCCTACAGCCGCGGACGCAACCTCCGAAGGCGGGTTTTGCGCCTTGCGTCGTAGGGGTCCTAACTGCAGAGCTCGCAGGGAGGGTGGTGCCTGTCCTTACTGCTGCACCCCAAATCCCAGATTCTACAAGATCCCTCGAGAATCCCCGCGATCTTCCGGATTCACTCTGTTTTGATGTACCGAAGGCTATTTACAATGCTGCCAGGGTACAGTTTTCCAAAAATGTTTTAATTTCCTCAAAATTGCCAAAAGTGGGGTACCACAATATCATTGCACATTGATGCTAAAATCTCCTCGTGTAAAGTATGACTTCTATAAATATATATTAAAAAAACGTACCAAGTAGATTGTCGAATTCAAGACAAAGTCATCTGTTCTTCCCTGGCTTGAGGAGAAACTCTCAAAATTTTGTTATACATATATGTATGTCATCAAGAATCAAAATGATTTTGTGGACTACAGATAAAATGAAGAAATGCTCTTAAGTATTACAATGTGAAAAGTTACAGTCCGGGCTAAACTTCGCTGAAGTGCAGCAAGAGCCTTAGATCCATAAGATATACACAACGAAGATCTGGCACTCCATGTGAAGTAATTGGCTTCTTGGGGCAAGACATTGATCCTGCTTTGATGACAGAACTCCACTAGATAGCACAGTAAATCAAGTTTCATTGTTAAACATAAGCCCAGAACGCGTTGCAATGATGGATATGATACCTTCTTTGCTTAATCACAAGTAAACACCCAGGTCATTGGAGTTCAGCCGAAAGCAAATATAAAACTTGAGGGTTGCCGCGGCTATATAACTAATGGGGACAAGTTCGGCTCTCGGCTCTCGGCTCTTTCGTGATCCCTACCGAGTGCTGGTCGATTCTCATCCTCCGCTAGTAATGGCTTGGAAAGGAAACAGAATAGAAAGTACAAGCTTTTATCTATACATCTCGTGAACAATATACTGTAACCGAGAATCCACATGCTAAAATTGAACATCATCAAGGGAGTGAAAGATGGAATCTATAATAAGGATGATAATCATGAAACAGCTTTCGCTAATATGCGTCTGGATTCCCCAAAATATTCCAGTCAACGCATTCCAGTCCTTCACAAAGTTACCACCTCTCGACAGGATGAGATGAGGGAGCCATCTTTTTCGCGCAGGAGCCCGTTGACAGGCAAACCACGCCGTACTTCTCTGTCGAGAACACACATGTTGTAGTTCCTAATATGAGCCAAGGCTAGAGCCGGCGCAGTCTCATGGGCGTGTGAGACTCAGATAATAATATTGCGAAGAATCTACAAACAAGCTGCATCAGCCGTTCGTTTAGGAATTGTTACGACAGCCTTATGCCCGGGGTCGTAGAGCTTTTCTTCGGCCGCCAAAGGTTCCGGTGGGGAGCTCGTGGGAAATTTACATTCCGCTCTCAATCGTTTACTTGCGTCTCTAAGGAGTGAGTGGAGGACGGAAGAAAAGAGCCCATTTTGAGGATATAGCCTCCTCGGATCCGCCCTTGCTGAAACTGCACAAGTCGGAATTGCAGCTCGTCCGCCTGCCCGATGCCCAATAGTCGAAAGCCCGGGTGCGTGAGGAAGAGCAGGAGAGAGAATAAATCAACAGTGGGGAGAATAATCCGGAAATATGCGGCAGAAATAGCGAGCGCGCTTGTAAGAAACGCATTTTAAGGTTCGGCATATGCCGGAAGATGCCGTTTGGATCCAGACGCTGCCCTCTGTCGATTCCATGCACGCTGACTTTTGGAATCGGTGTAAGACGTCCACCTTCGGCAATTAATGGCGGCCCGGAGGACGTCAACAGCTGCGGATCCGCGCAGGCATTACGTCGCTATAAAACTTATCGGATGCGTCCCCAAATGGCAAGACGCGCACGAGCAACTCTTCTTTCAGGAGTTTCTGTCTTGCGAGAGAGCGTGTGGGCTTCCACCGGATTCCACCTTCCCTCACAAGCACCTCCTCCTCCCAATCATGTTCTGAATCAATCGATCTCTTGCGCAGCATCAGCCCAGACAAGCGTCCTCGTACATGTCGTACCTCTAGCGGTACTTGTCGTGTCATTAAGGAGCAGCGACAGCAGCACCAAAGGTCTCAACTGGACTCGATCCGTCTATTATCTTCATGGCTGTCCTCGAGGAGTATCTGTGGCTCGTTGTCGTCGGGGCCCTGGTGGCCTTCGGGTTCGGATACGGAACTGGTGAGTCCTCGTGTCCAACAAGCTTGTCTGGTGCAGCTGGTAACTCCTGGAGTCAATGAGCTGTAGTGCTCCCGATTTGAAATCAGATTCCTGCCATGCATTCGTCCCCATACCGCAGTTTCCGTCCGAACTGAATTCGTTGAAAAATCTCGCCACTGTCGCAGTGCGATGGCTGTTGATAATCCCCTCGTGTGCCTTTCTGTTCTGAATCCAGGTGCGAACGATGTGGCTAATGCTTTCGGAACATCCGTCGGGAGCAAAACCCTCACTCTGAGGCAGGCGGTCATTGTAAGTAGAGCATGCTGTCCCCCACCTTCCATCCAGTCCAGCGATCCGAGCTGATGCAAAGTCGCGATAGCCTGGAATTTTGCCTAGACTGAGAAAGCTAGTGATACATGCAGGAAGAACATCGTCTCTCCTAGATTCGAACATAAGTACACATTCTCGCACTGAAGGATATGGTAGATGAGACTAATATGCTGCTAAATAGTGGACTGTCTGAGCTCGCCAAACTGACGATCCATCAACTGACTCGCAGATTGCATCTATATTCGAGTTTGCTGGAGCCCTTCTTCTGGGAAGAGTGTCGACGAATACCATCGCGTCCGGTATAGCGGACATCAACTCCTTCACTCGTGACCCGGAGGTTTATGCTTATGGCATGGTCTGCGCCTTGGGAGTTGGTACAATCTGGCTTCTTATTACTTCCTACTTGGGACTGAACGTGTCGTCCACCCACTCCATCAGTAAGTCGATACTCGCGAGTTCAATTTTTTATTACCTCGAGATGTAGATCAGTTATGCTTCGTGTTGCATCATCAAGGTGATAATTTGTGAGTTTGGTTCTGATGTGCAGTCGGAGGAATTATCGGATTTGCTTTGGTTTGGGATGGCAGCAACGCAGTCGTGTGGGCGAAGAAGGATACCAATTCGTTCCCTCCCTACAAGGGAGTGATCGCCATCGTCATGTCCTGGTTCATAGCCCCCGTTCTCACCGGCCTCGTGTCTGCGACCATCTTCTTCGTCGTCCGCACTACCGTCCTCCGTCGCAAGAATGCTTACGCCCTGTCGTTCTGGACTCTTCCTCCTTTCGTCCTCATCACCACATGGGTCAACATGTACTTCGTCTTCACCAAGGTTCGCCATATCCCATCTGATGCTCCTCTTCTCCATGTTAAGATTCCTTGGAACCCGAATGGCGTCTCCACTCGAAGAGACACCATTCGGGCGACGAAATTGGTCGTGGAGGAGGAGTATTTTAGTGAAGCATCTTAGAGTCCGAGATTGATCAATGCTTTAATTGTTAAGACGTTGATGACTTCCATGACTGCACTCTGATGTCCGTGGTGTCTAAAATTCTCAGGGTGCCAAGAAGACGCTGTCCTCGTCCTCTGACTGGACAGACTCCAAGGCCGCCTGGGTATCAGCCGTCATCGCTGCAGGAGTTACCATCTTGTGCATTTTCGTCGCTCTTCCGCTTTTGAGGAGGATGGCAAGCAATCACTTCGACAGGTGAGGTCTGAACTCCTGACATCTGAGTTTGGAATTTCACAGTCTCGGCTCGGCTGGGTTTCATCGGTGCTCCTCTCAGCGTTTTGACTCTGTCTGCCGTCTATGTTGCCCTCGTTTGCAGCGAGGGCAATCCTATTCAGGGAATGCCCACAGCCTTCTCTCCACAACCCGCCTCCGAGATGAGAACTCCCGAGGAGATCGCAGCCGGCCCGAACCAATTGTCTCCCGTCGATGCTGAGCCAGCTCAATTGACAAGATGGCAGAAGTTCAGCAAGGCAGCAACTCACGGCATGGACGTGGATATCCACAAAATCGTCAAGACGGACGACAAGATTCACGAGATTCACGAATCCGCTGAGCTCTTCGAGCCTCGTGTGGAGTACGCCTTCAGCTACTTGCAGGTCTTCTCGGCCATTTGTGTCATATTCGCTCACGGGGCCGGTGAGGTCGGATACATGGCAGGTCCGCTGGCCACCATCTGGGACGTGTACAAGAAGGGTCAGCTTTCGAAGAATGTCCAGCCTCCAATCTGGGTCATCCTCATCGGTGCCGTCGGTCTCGTCATCGGCCTCGCCACTTACGGATACAATGTCACTAGAGCCATGGGAGTGAAGCTCGCGAAGCTAACACCCACCAGGGGATTCGCTGCCGAGCTCGCCACCGCCTTCGTGATCATGATCGCTTCTCAGTACGGTTTGCCCACATCGTCCAGCCAGTGCATCACCGGAGCCATCATCGGAGTGGGTATCCTCGAGGGGTCGAAGGGAGTCAACTGGACCCAATTCTTGAAACAGTTCGGTTCGTGGGTGGCCACATTGTTCGTCATCGGTCTGGCTGTGGCCGCCGTGTTCGCCCAAGGAATCTACACTCCCAGCAAAATCCAAGGAAAGGAGGTGACCATGTACGAGGATCGCGTGACCAACTTGACCACTCAAGTGTACAAGGACTTCAACTCCAGCCTCCAGAGCTACCGGCCAGTTGCTGCCCAGGGCCTCCTCGTCAACCTCCCCAACACCACCTGGAATGAGCTCAACGCCACCGTAGCCGTCAATGCGAAGGACGCCAAGAACTTGATAGACCCCAAGAAGACCCAGTCAGGTAATTCACTCTGTGAGCAGGAATCCAGCTCGATATTGATTGCGTTTCGGTTCTCCGGTGTGATGTTAGGTGTGCTTAGTTCTCTAGTCCGTCTCATGTGGGCTGTATTTTCTGACGCTGGAATTTGTTGTTGTTGACAACAGTGGCAGTGGAATCCATCCTCGATGCGCTTTACGTGTCACTGTCTCTGGTCCAAAATAACAGCGTCTTCACACTGGGACAAAATACTGTTTTTCCCGGAGCTGACATTTGTATCGATCCATCGACGACCAATTTGACAACGGTTGCTTGCATCTCACCGAAGCTTCTTCCATCATTTGCTTTGAAGACATCGTCAGTCTAGGCATACTTTCCTCGGAGAGGAGTTGAAATATTAAGGTAGTGAGTGGAACACATTCCAGATCTAGACATATTGATTAAACACGTTGATTCGATTTGTTGTGAGTGTTGCTATATTGTTGGCACCAGTGTGGAGACAATACTAGAATAGATGTTGACAAGCGCTCGTGGTCAGGACTGCTATCTCAAAAAACCTGCCAAATATTTGTATAGATTATACTTTCTGATCTGTTCGTTTAGATTACAAGTCGATGGGAAGGCTAGATCGCTGGATATTCAGAAGAACATGTGCACACCGTTGTATATGGAAGTTCTCGTCTTGCGGAGGCTCTGAGAGCGAGAAGGGGTCAGAGCATGCAGCTTTGGAGGATAGGAAGTCTGAACGATTGCACATCCGAAAGAAGTTCATGGACCGATGACATTTCCTATCCACGATGGGATCTTCCCAACCATCTGGACATTTTCCCCCAGGTTTCTTAGATATTCACTTACTATGTAGACCATCAAATTTGTGGATTTGAAGGCAAGAATGGAGGTTGTAGATACAAATGTAGAGTATATGAAAAAATGATACACTGTTAATGTCAGTAGTCAAGATGGTGCCAGACGGACCAGTTGATTTCTTAGTTGCCATCAGCGGGGACACAGCAACTTGTGTTCCATTCACTTATAGTTTACACAGTAAAAGCTACGAGCTTTTTCGGGGTTTCCCCATGCTTAGATCGTAGTAGTTTGAAAATTGTCAACGTGTTTATAGTTCATGCCTCATTTGAGGCTGGCAGGTGTAACCCCTGGTTACTATATTAATGTACGATGTCATTTGTGACACTCTGCTTCGAGTCAGAAGTCATTTGTTTATTTACCTCTTCTCCGCGTAGGCCTCGTTAATAGTAGTTGGGATATTTTCCCTACTACTTATGTTATCAACGAATCAGTTGTGAATGCCCAGCATTCGCAACTGATTCTTCTGTCCCGATCTTGGAGTCCGTGCACTTTGGGAATTTCTTCAGGAATGTTGACTACCACTCACTACTCCCTCGCGTGGGTTTTCACGAAATATACGAATGATGTTGTTATGGTACACCTAAATTCTAATGCATTATTTGTTTCATTCAATATGTAATTTCCGTTGTTATCAAAAAGTTAATTCATATTATCAAGTAGTCTTGATGAATACTAGTTAAACTCTATTTACTCTTCACGAACTGTTTCATCCACCCATTAAATACGGAAACAACATTTGAATGTTAGGTTGTATATGTATGATAGTCATGTCATTTGAAATACAGACTTATGACATGACAAAGCAGTGAATACTATACAACACTAAATTTTTTTCATATTTTATTTATTTGATTTCATAATTTCTTACCAAAAAATGAAATTGGAGATTATATCGAAGCAAAACTCACTTTTTGTTGGAAATATTTAAGATTTTTGAAAAAACTTTCTTTCTTTCATCATAGTCATCTTCATCAACTTCATATACTGCAGATTGAATACTTATTCTAAAAAATCTAGACAGATCAATAACATGTTGCAATGTTATCTTTTTTTAAATGATAAGATTAAAATTAATTTTTCAGGTTACATGACTAATATTATTCTTTATCATGATAGGTTCTAAAAAAATATAAACACACAAATTTGATAAGAACTTTTTTGTGAGTTTGTCTCCTTTTATTTCAATGAATGTACTATAATAAATTTGATAATTCAAATACACAAAATCAAAATAATGTAATCAAAATATTCAAATATTTTGATTACATTTGTGTGCGATGAGTATACAAGTTTAATCTCTAACATTTACCAAGTGGGAAAAAATAGCTCCCAACATAATAGCATCATATAATTTTGTTGATTTACGGTAAATGATACAATAAATTTCAAATCAAGCCATGACATAAAACCAATTGAAAATATCACTTTACGTTGAAAGAGAATATGACTTCTTAGCGTAAGAGATGAAATGATTACAAAGTCAATGCAAGTATGTCCTATACGAAGAGATATAACAAACTTCGCTAACCTCAAAAGTATTTCAGATGCTATTTCCAACAATACCAAATTTTGAAGTCTATTTGTCACATCTCTAAGTTGAACAATATTTTTTCAACAAATCTATTTCTTTAAATTATTATGCAAAAATAATTTACTTTTTCAATAAATTTATTTTATATGTGCCTGATTCCATCATTGCTCCTTGACTTGTTGTATGTACTGCACTATAGGTAATGAAAACAGTATATAGTTTTGCCATTGCAAATATATATTTTCCAACATTTCAATCGTATATATAGGATATTTGTCAAAAATCTTGACATCTCCTACGTTTCGTTATACTTTAAAGACAATCATAGCCATTTTTATGATTCAAATTTTCAAATATAGATTTAGAAAATTTATGAATCATTTTATCATGTCAATGAGAATAATGTTTGGAATCACACTAAATCAATGTTCGGAACACACTTACTATTGTACTTGTAATTGTTTGGCACTCTTGAATTCCTATTGTACAATATAATAAAGAAGTTATGTCATTTTCGAGGCAAATATTTGTCGTCTTTTGGTCAGTCATGGAACTGCTTTGATTACAGATGCCCATTGTAGGGGATTTGCGTCCTTCAGCATAATCCGAGAACGCTTCCCAATGATGGATCTCATACCTCTTTGCTTAATCGCAGGCGAACTCCGAGTTCCTGGGAGCTGCAGCCGGAGTAGGGATGCTCACGGCTCGGCTAACGGCTAGCCGGCTAACAAAAAATATTAGCCTGCTAGCCGGTTATACAGCCGCTAGCCGTCGACTTACCGGCTAGCCGGAACGCTATTCGAGGCGAAAACGATCCGAAAACTCGGACCGTTTCCGGCCAATTCATCCGAAATTATCCCCCAAATCCTTATTTCGATTGAATATTTCAGCCAACATGCATTTTCGGCCGATAGCGGATTAGCCCACGGCTAGCCGGCTAAATTTCAGGCCCTAGCCGGCTAGCCCTTTGTATCGGCTAGCCGGCTACGTGACCATGCCTAATCCGGAGACCGGACATAAAATCTGGAGGGTTGCCGCTTCTTTAGGGGCACAAGGAATTCTGCAATCGGCTCTTTTGTGATCCTTAAGGAGTCATGGTCGATTCTTGTCCTCGGCTAGCATTCCGTTGAACAGGAAACAAAAGAGAGAGGACCAGTTTCTACCTACTCATGTCCTGGACCACATACTGCAACCCAGATTCCACTTGCTTAGATTGAACATGATAAAAGGAGTGAAAAATTGAAACTGTCATGGGTATGATTAACGTGAAACAGTTTTCTCTTATATGCGTCTGAGATCCAATCCAGTCAACGCTTTCTATTCCTTCATAAAACTACCACCTCTCGACAGGATGAGCTCAGGAGACCATGTTTTCCACATTAGCCCCGAGAAAGGCAAATCACGCCGTACTTATTTGTGGACAACAGACCTGTTTTCAGATCCGAAGATGAGCAAAGGCTAGAGCCGGCGCCGTCTCTAGGTGCCAATGTGAGACTCAGAGAATTATTTAGTCAAGAGTATAGAGCAGTCAGGCACCGAGCGTTGCGGACTTATCACGACAGCCCGTGGACGCGATCGCAGTGCTTCCTTCGGCCGCCACAGAAGGAATAAGGTTGCGGTTGAGGACCTCGTGGAGTTCCGGACGGAGCTTCAGGAAATTTACATTCCCAGTGGGGGACGGCAGTGAGGAATCCCAATTTCAGAATATAGCTTCTTCGGGTCCACCCTGGCTTAACTGCACAACTCGAACATAAAGCTCATCCTCCTTCTCGACGCCCAATTGTCGAAAGCCCGAGAGCGGGAGATACGGAGGAAGGGAGACAGCGAGAGAGACAGAGACAGAAGCAGACTACAGTGGAGAGGGGAATCCGGAAATATCCGTGAAACGCTTGTAAGAATTGCGTTCTAAGTTTCGGCATATGCCGGAAGATGCCGTTTGGATCCAGACACTCCCCTCTGTCGAGTCCATGGACACGCTGACTTGTGGAATTGGTGTAGACGTCCACCTTTGGCAACGAAGGGCGGCTCATAAAACGTCAACAGCTGCGGATCCGCGCAGGCATGACGTCACTATAAAACTTAGCGAATGCGGCATCAAATGGCAAGACGCGCACGAGCAACTCTTCCTTCAGGAGATCCTGGCTTGCGAGAGAGCGTGTGGGCTTCCACCGGAATCCGACGCCCCTCACAAGCACCTCCTCCTCCCAATCATGTTCTGAGTCAGTCGATCTCTTCCGTTCCAGACAAACGTCCTCGTACATGTCGTACCTCTAGCGGTACTTATCGTGTCATAAAGCAGCAGCGACAGCAGCAGCATAGGTCTCAACCGGACTCGATCCGTCTATTGTCTTCTTCATGGCTGTCCTCGAGGAGTATCTGTGGCTCGTTGTCGTCGGGGCCCTGGTGGCCTTCGGTTTCGGATACGGAACTGGTGAGTCCTCGTGTCCAACAAGCTTGCCTGGTGCAGCTCGGGACCTCCAGGGGTCAATCAGTTGCAGTGCTCCCGATTCGAATTCAGACTCAAGACCATGCACTCGTCCCCATGCCGCCATCATGACCGGACTGAATTCGTAGAAAAAGGTCTCCGGTCTCGCAGTGCGAAGTCTGTGTTTCGGTTTGTCGAGGCACGTTGTTGATGATCCCGTTGTGGGCCTTTCTGTGCTGAATCCAGGTGCCAACGATGTGGCTAATGCTTTCGGAACGTCCGTCGGGAGCAAAACCCTCACTCTGAGGCAGGCGGTCATTGTAAGTAGAGCATGCTGTCCCCCACCTTCCATCCAGTTCAGCGATCTGATCAAAGTCGTCGTAAATTGAGAAAGAAAAAAGTACATGCATTTCATTGTTTCACCTAGATTAGAGTATACGTGCACATTCCCACACTGAAGGATATTATAGATGAGACTTTTAAGCTGCTGAAACGTCAACTGCCTTATTAGACAGACAGAAAAATTCTTCAATTGACAATTTACTCGCAGATTGCGTCTATCTTCGAGTTTGCCGGAGCCCTTCTTCTGGGAAGAGTGTCGACGAATACCATCGCGTCCGGTATAGCGGACATCAACTCCTTCACCCGTGACCCGGAGGTTTATGCTTATGGCATGGTCTGCGCCTTGGGAGTTGGTACAATCTGGCTTCTTATTACTTCCTACTTGGGACTGAACGTGTCGTCCACCCACTCTATCAGTAAGTCGGAACTCGAGTTCGAATATTTAACACCTAGAGCTGTAGTTTAAAGCTTCAGCGTACTGGAGCAATTTTTGTGTTATATCATGAGGGGATAATTTCTTAGTATAGTTGTGATGTGCAGTCGGTGGAATTATCGGATTTGCTTTGGTTTGGGATGGCAGCAACGCCGTCGTGTGGGCGAAGAAGGATACCAATTCGTTCCCTCCCTACAAGGGAGTGGTCGCCATCGTCATGTCCTGGTTCATCGCCCCCGTTATCACCGGCCTCGTGTCCGCGTTCATCTTCTTCGTCGTCCGCACTGCGGTTCTCCGCCGGAAGAATGCTTACGCCCTATCGTTCTGGACTCTTCCTCCTTTCGTCCTCATCACCACATGGGTCAACATGTACTTCGTCTTCACCAAGGTTCGCCATATTTCATCTGATGCTCCTCTTCTCCATGTTCCGATTGTTTGGACTGTCTCTGGTCGAGAACACACCATTTTGGCGACGAAATTGGGTCGTGCAAGAGGAGAATTTCGAAGCAGGACCGAACAGTATGAGCATTTATTGACGCTGGATGTTTCAGATGTTGATGACCTTGATGATTGTGTCCTAATGCACGGGGTGTCTGAAAATCTCAGGGTGCCAAGAAGACACTGTCCTCGTCCTCGGACTGGACGGACTCAAAGGCTGCCTGGGTGTCGGCCGTCATCGCTGCAGGAGTTACCATTCTGTGCATTTTCGTCGCTCTTCCGCTTTTGAGGAGGATGGCAAGCAATCACTTCGACAGGTGAGACCCGAGCTCAGGACATCTCAGTTTGGAAAATTCAAAGTTTCGGCTCGGTAGGGTTTCATTGGTGCTCCTCTCAGCATTCTGAATCTGTCTCTCGTCCATGTTACCCTCGTTTGCAGCGAGGGCAATGCCATCCAGGGAATGCCCACAGCCTTCTCCCCACAAACCGCTTCCGAGATGAGAACTCTGGACGAGATCGCAGCCGGCTCGAACCAAGTGTCTCCCGTCGATGCTGAGCCCGCTCAATTGACAAGATGGCAGAAGTTCAGCAAGGCAGCAACTCACGGCATGGACGTGGATATCCACAAAATTGTCAAGACGGACGACAAGATTCACGAGATTCACGAATCCGCTGAGCTCTTCGAGCCTCGAGTGGAGTACGCCTTCAGTTACTTGCAGGTCTTCTCGGCCATTTGTGTCATCTTCGCTCACGGGGCCGGTGAGGTCGGATACATGGCAGGTCCGCTGGCCACCATCTGGGACGTGTACAAGAAGGGTCAGCTCTCGAAGAATGTCCAGCCTCCAATCTGGGTCATCCTCATCGGTGCCATCGGTCTCGTAATCGGTCTGGCCACTTACGGATACAATGTCACTAGAGCCATGGGAGTGAAGCTTGCGAAGCTGACACCCACCAGAGGATTCGCTGCCGAGCTCGCCACCGCCTTCGTGATCATGATCGCCTCTCAGTACGGTTTGCCCACATCGTCTAGCCAGTGCATCACCGGAGCCATCATCGGAGTGGGTATCCTCGAGGGATCGAAGGGAGTCAACTGGACCCAATTCTTGAAGCAGTTTGCTTCATGGGTGGCCACATTGTTCGTCATCGGTCTGGCTGTGGCCGCCGTGTTCGCCCAAGGAATCTACACTCCCAGCAAAATCCAAGGAAAGGAGGTGACCATGTACGAGGATCGCGTGACCAACTTGACCACTCAAGTGTACAAGGACTTCAACTCCAGCCTCCAGAGCTACCGGCCAGTTGCTGCCCAGGGCCTCCTCGTCAACCTCCCCAACACCACCTGGAATGATCTCAACGCCACCGTAGCCGTCAATGCGAATGCTGCCAAGAACTTGATAGACCCCAAGAAGACGCAGTCAGGTAATTAACTCTAAGATCATGAATCCAGCTCGTTACTTTGGATTGCATGAAAGCAAGCTGATGGTCGTTTTGGTTCTCGGGCGTGAGCTCATCTATGTTTCGCTAAGTAGTTAGTCACCGGATGGAAACATTTACTGATGCTATGATTAATTTTGCTTGTTGACAACAGTTGCAGTGGAATCCATCCTCGATGCACTTTACAAGTCATTGTCTCTGGTTCAAAATAACAGCGTCTTCACACTGGGACAAAGTACAGTTTTTCCGGGGGCTGACATCTGTATTGATCCTTCGACGACAAATTTGACGACGGTCGCTTGTACCTCACCGAAGCTACTTCCATCGTTTGCCGTGAAGACATAGTCGTTAGATAGTCAGATAATCATGAGAGGGATTGAAAACTGAAGGGAATGAATGAAATAGATTCCAGATCTATACATTCTGATTGAACACGGTGTTGAGCGTTGATGTTTTGTTTGCTCCATTGTGGACACGAACGGGTTAGATTTTGAGAAGCGCATATGGTCAGCACAGTTATCTTCAAAAACCTGAGATTTGTGTAGATACTAATTTTAATCTGAGAGTACAACTTGATGGGAAGGCTAGATCGTTCGATTTCAGAAGATTAGGAGTTCACTGTACATGTGCCTACCGTTGTGAATGTTCTCCTCTTTCTGAGGCTCTATTGGCGAGGAGGATTCAGAGCATGGAGCTGTGGAGCTTAAGCAATCCGAACGGTGCCAGATTCTACAGAAGTTCATGAATCGGTGATATTTCTCACCCACGATAGTAACATACTTGCCATCTGGAAATTTGCCCCCAATTTTCTCAGATATGTGTCTACTAGGCAGACCAAGAATTGTGGAAATTTGAAATCAGGAATGGAGGTTGTAGATACAAAGCTAGAGTGTATAAACAAAAGACATACTGTTAGTATCAGCAATCACGATCAGCAATCAGCAATCGTACCAACTTGTGTACCATTGGCTTATAGTTGCCAGAGTAAGAACTAGGAGATTGTTCGGGGTTTTCCAATGCTTAGATCGGATGAGTTTGATGAGTGTCAAGTTATTCATATTTCTAGCCTCATTCGAGGCTTGCAGGTGTAATCTCCGGTTACTATTTCAATGTACGAATTCATTTGTGCCAATCTGCTTCTGGTCACATCTTCATTTGTTTATTGACCTCTTTCATGGAGAAGACTGAGACTGGTTAGTCACATTGTGCAGCATTGTTCATTCTTTTAGCAACTATTTTCTCTTTATCAACCTGGATCATAACATCTTTCTATACTAATTTAGATTTATCATTCATGAAGTTTGTTAGGCACTACTATCGGTCAAATTCATTTACATCATTCATGAAGCTTGTTGGGTACTATTATAGGTCATTTGAGCTCTTTTAGATAACTGTTGGCATTGGATGGTTTGAAACATAGTTGAGATTACTTTTAACAATATCCCATGAATAATCATTTCTTTAAAATCCAAAGAAGCGGGTGAACCTCTATCTGAAAATTGAAGACTGAAAATCTGAAAGCTATTAAGGCTCATATTTTAGGATTAGCTTTCACAAGAGGAAGTAAATATTATAGAGTAAGTTGTTTATACTCTCCAGAAACATCTTTTTAAGAGCATTCATAATTGCCATGGCTCATTAGAAAAAAAGCTGTAAACAGTGAAAAAAATCTAATTGTGTGACCCACTCTTCAGTAAATTATATGTACATAATAAATCATGTTGAGATCAAGTAATTTTTTGATACTAGACAACAAATTTTTTTCTTCTCTTAGGTATGAAAGTCAAGGTTTCAAAATATATTTTTTGGTCTCCAAAGTGTTAAGATTTAATTTAGGTCCTAGTTTATACTAGCCTTTTTATACTCAAAGCATATAAGAGTTTGAGAATGAAAGACTGCTGCACATATTATGTGACAATCTACACAGAGCAATCTGAGAATCTAGAGCTTCACACTGGATGCATAACTGATTTAACTAAAACTACTTATAACTGATTCAACTGGAAAAGGTTTTGGAAAGTCTAACAATTTCATACAACTAGAGAGGTTGATTAGATTGACTTTCATTTGGAACTCATTGATGCTTTCTTTGATGATGCCAAACTTGGCCACCAAAACAATCATGAGTCTTTTTTTTCTAACATACAATTGCGCTTCTATCTTGATGGTATCTACGGCTATGAAGTCCTTTGTGATGAGGTAAACTTTGCATCCTTGAATTCTGTAGAAAAGAAGGTTTTTCACTTTGAGAACGCATAGCTAGTTTGAGCCTAGCTATAGAGTCTTTTACAGGATTCATTGATTGAGAATTTGGACTCCAGTACATTTACACAATTTTCCATACCATTGTTTCATATTGCTCAAAATTTAACATTAACTCTTCTAGCCCCTAATATTAAACCCGAGCATTATCACTTAAATTTCATTATTAGTCTTTGTAGTGTTTACATCTTTGTAAAGTTTTCAAGAAAAACTCACAAATGTCAAACTCCACAATTCCTATAAGAATTCTTCAACAATCAGATGTATCATAAAGCGATGTTTACTTGTGTCTACAAATGACACCCTCGCTACTAAAAAAACTTGAATTCATAACGTGTCCTATCATCCAAAGTATATTTAGATAAGAAATCTATATGGAGTAAGCTCTTGTAGCAAAGCTTAAAACTATTGTATTACACCCGCAAAAGTTTTACTTTCTTGCGAGTCCAACTATATTTCTCAGATTCAGGTCATCATTTTGCATTTAAACCATATAAAAGCAGTCCAAATCACTTAATATAATAAAATTTTCATTTGTAAGTTTTTTGGAATAATCTTTGATATATAAAAAACCTTCAAACACTCATTCAATCACTCCAAAAAAAATGTAAGTTTCAATCCTAATATCCCACAAATATTATTTATTCACTCAAAATTTAGCTACCGAACTAATATTGTTGTGTATTCGCACAACTACTAGCTGAAATAGAATGAATGTTGAAATATAAGTGTGTATGCGTAAAAGTGTCAGAATATGTGCCACAAAAAATCAAATGTGTTAGCGATTTGACTGCAAATATATCCAGAGAGATGGAAAATATATTTTTCTTAAATAGATTCAAAATGGCTATAAGATGCAACCACAAAGATCCTTAAAGAGATCCAAAAATGATAGTGGAAAGAAATCCAAAATGATAAAAAAAATGCTAAAATAAATAGGCCTCAAGTGACATAACATGTATCTTCAAAGATATCCAATCAGATAGTTAATCAAAGAATCAATATAAAATTGAAAGATAATCACAACAAAAATATTCATTATGTTGATAAAATATTGATACAAAGAATAGATCATAAATGAATGAATGAATACATGTTCAAAAGTGAAACAAAATCAATATACAAAAATCAATACAAACTACAAAATTTGAAATTTCATGAGCCAAAATAATTGATGTATGGAGTGAAAATGTAACCATATGTAATTAGTTCAAACTATAGTATAAATTATTTAAGATGAACCTGCATTGAATTTATTACACGTCATCTTCATGTCATACTTGCACTAGAAGTGGAATGGATTATCATAATACAATATTTTATTTTTTTCCTGTAGTTATTAGGAAGATTTATAAAAGTACAATAGAACCATTTTAAGGTTTCCTCATCTCCATTAATAAGTTTTATCTTTGATTAAACTATTTTTTTAGTCCCCAGTATCACAATGGTATCAAAGTTATCTTGTTCTTTCCTTGAGTGGAAATAAAAACTCATCAAGTAGCAAAAAAACTATGACACTAGGTTTTTATAATATAAAGTAGTTCACCAAAATCTTTTTTTTTTGAAAGAAAGAGTTACAAAAAAAACTTGTGATTTTGTAAATATAATTATGCCACAGAGAAATTCAGAATTACAATGACTTGATACTGAATTTTTTTGATATTTAACAAACATCTTTTTTTATATTGTGGCATATTCGATGTAGATTTTATAATTCAACTAATGAAGTCTAGGATGATATTAATAATTTCAATCATCAGTTACAAACATATGTGAAATTGTATCATCTATTTTTTATATTGAATATTCAACAGACTTGAATCGTGAACCAGCCAATTCAATACGTATATTAAAATTATTATAATTTATCAACATTCAAGATTGTAAAAATATATTTTTTGAGAAATTATGAAAAAAAATTTTAAAAAGTTGTCATTGTATGAACTCTATCTTTTGTGGTTATTTTGTTAAGATTTTAGATAATCATCATATTCATCATGTTTTAGAATGAGTGAGAGTAAGAATAATCATATAAATAGACATGAATGAATAAATTGCTGCAATCACAATAAATAAATATTTCACATAAAAAATAATAAGTGGATTTTAAAAACATTTAAAGATATATAAGTCATGGAAAATGGAATGTTACATTCAAAATTGAGTACATAGAAAGAGAAATAACTGGAGAGATAAAGAGTGAATCTTTAATTTTGAAGATTCAAATACAATCATATCCAATTCATATCTACATTTCAAAGAAAATTAATATATGATTTTAAAAGATTGAAGATCAAGTCCAATATTTCAACTGAATAAAAAAAATCATGTATGGTGAAAGCAATCAAGGAAAGTAGAGTATTGAAAGTTTTAGATAGCTATATCATGATGATAAATACATAGTTATCTCAGTTTGAGTTTATGATTCCATCAGATCTTATTTCCTAAATAAAATGTTCATATGATAAATTACGCGAAAACAAATACTGTTAGAATAAGATGCTTCAATTTTATAAAATGAAATGTATAAAGAATTTTTGAAAAAAAAATCTTCTATTGTTGATTTTCTTCAAAGCGCAATAATGAAATAATAATATTTGAAACACATTCAAAGTATCCACAATACATTGAAAAATCGTTTGATTTTTAAGTAATCATCATGAATATGAGAGTAGCAAAAATCTTAAATGTGTTCAAAAAATATTTGAAAAATCGAATATGCAAGAATTTGATCATAAGCAATTCATCCACGTGGAATGGAATGAAACAATTTAAATTTTTCAATAACTTGTTTATTGAATATTTATAGATTATCAAACTTTGTTCAAAACTCATATGATCATACGGAAATAGAGTTCAAAAATATTCAACTTATAGAAGAATGTGCACCATCACAAGTTCCAACACCAAGATTTGAAGCAATTAACAATTATTAATTTTATATTTGTAAGAAGAGTATGAAAATAATAAATTGGTTTGAATATAAGCAAAATTTTTTGAGAATCTTCATTTTAATGCATGCAAAAAGATGAATAATATTACCAAATTTTGCCAAATTTAAAGACTATTGCAAGAAAAATGTCTAATGTACTAACAATCTTTCAGTAACACGAGGAGCACATAGTAAAAAAAAACTGATGAAGTAATTTTGAGAAACAAAAATCATCATTAAACTTTACATGTGGCATGATAGATTCCATAAAATTAAAATTAGAAAAAATTTGAAGGAGATAATGAATGGATGTTGATGAAAGGAGAAAAAACAAGACCAATTACTAAACAAAAGGTGAAAATTCATATTGATCTTGGAGCGATTAAAACATTTATGTCACAAAATGTTGCAATGAAATTAAATTTGATGTTGATGAAACTATATGTGAAAAATTAAAATTTTCAAACAATAAATTCAAGCAATAAATATATGAAATCTATAATTATTTATGAATGAATTCAAAGATTAAATTGAATGGAAAACAATTTTTTGGTTCAATATGATGACATGATAACCAAAAAAAATGTCACGAACAAAAAATTGTGACGTGAAAAAAAATAAAAACATCATGGAACATAATTTTTTATATCACTAATTGATTTTTTTGTTATAATGTATAATGTTTTGAACTCATGATAATTTAACATAAAACACTTTTATTTAGACCTTATTGAGATTCAGACTAGAAATCATATACTCAGATGTTTGCAAATTCCGAGGTAACTTTCATTTAAATTACCTCACATGATTTTTTGATAATTTATCATGTATTTAAAACAGTGATTTTCATTTACAATTATATTCCCAAATTTTCATTAAATATACCAAATTTTCATCTATTGAGAAAAATATGTACACAATCTTGCTTAAATTT